AGAAGTGAAGCTAGTTGCTCATTCCAAGTTGTAGATTCCTATAGCTGAGACGAACGAGCAAGAAACTCGATAGGTTACTCTTTTTCAATCGGGTTTACAATACAATTCTCTAGTTACATAGTTTTATTGGTTCGATTGTGTGAGAACAATGCAACACGTAAATACAGTCAAAGAGACTGAAAAAGAAAATAACCTTGAGGATCATAAAATGATACAGTCTGGAGCTGACCAGTTCCAATCGACGGCACCCGTTCACGAACATTTGGTGTACCCCAGCACCGCCCAACTCAACCATTTTGTAGGGAATCGAGGGAATCGAGCGATCCAATGCACGTGCCACCGCCAACGAGATCTTTGAGAGAGCATGACAGCTCCAAGCTGACATGGAGACATGGCTCTGCTTCTAGACTTAGCGCTGCTTCACGTGGTCTGGATAGCTACGTGCCAAATAAATGAGAATTAGCAACGTAATTTCTAAGACTAATTAACTATCAGTCACATTTTAGTGGAAACTTATAATTTATAAATGAATGACTGGAAGGTGAAACAGGCGTTTAGTATTAATATTCCTTCTCCTGTCTCTGAAATCAAATGGAAAACTCTATCAGATAATTTTGTTGACATAACGTAACATAAAATCACGCCTTTTATCTCCAAAGGAGTAGGAATGGGGTGCACATTACGGCACCTGATGTCACTCTAAATGTAAAACCTAATTGTCACTATTTATGTTATGTGTCCCATGTAAAAGGAGATTAGCCTATTGCCATAAACCATTGCATATTTCCAAACTCCGTGCTACTACTGAGTTTTTTTAAAACCCAGTAATTCAGCCCGTACGTCGAATCGATCCCGAGACCAGGGAGTTTCGGGTTCGAGTCGCACTTGCGACCACTCGGCCAATGAGGTAATCGATAAATTATAATTTTGTTGATAAATAACAATTTATTTTACGTTGTCCATAGTTATATATTTCCTTATTTTTCTATTTCATGTCTGTAAGTACTAATAAAACAAGCTGAATACCTACACTTTAAAAAGTTGATAACCTAAACACTATAAAACATCAAGGATCATGTTGTAGTCTAGTCTTATTCAAATTACTAGCAATACCTTAAACTACTAGGAATAGGAGACATAATATCATTTACTCTAATTAATTAATTACTTTCCATCTTTCGGTTCGAAGACATCTGAAAACAGGCTGACAAGAGACAAAGGCTGTATTGTGAAGATAATCCTATTTTCATAACTATTGCCTGAAGCAGTGGAGTCTAGATTGAACGTAAACATGGACCAGATTGCCTAGGGCTCAGCTCGTATGCTCTGCTGGTTTGACAAATTAGGTCAGCCTGTCTTTTCGTTGGAGTATTTATTGCTTTTTTTAGTTATTGTTTTGGGGAGATGAAAGACGTAGTAACAAGGGTAATTTCAAAAGAATAACGTTGCCTTACCCTGAGACTTTCTTCTGTGTCGTGGGTGCGTTTACATACATACAATTTTAACATAACATCACGCTTTTTATCCCGAAGGGGTAGGCAGAGGTGCACATTATGCCACTGTACAATGTAACACCCACTTTTCACTATTTATGTTACGAGTCCCATGTAATAGGGGGTGAGCCTATTGCCATTTACCGGGCACAATTCCAGAATCCGTGCTACTACTGAGTTTTTTTTTTTAAAACCCAGTAATACTTTGCCCGACCCGGGAATCGAACCCGAGACCCCTTGCTCGGCAGTTGCACTTGCGACCACTCGGCCAACGAGGCAGTCAACAATACAATCAAAAGTACAATATTAACTAGAGGTATATACATAGGACACTCAGACCTGTATTAACAGTTTGTGGATCACAGTACAAAGAGTTGTTCCGTGCGGAAATTGAACCCGCTATACGTTGCGTGGCATTCAGTTGCTCAGTCACCACGCCAACCGTACAGTTTTGAAGTTATGGTTCTGGTTGCTTTAATGTCATAGTAACTCCCGTGGTTTAAAGTTAATCGAACCAACAGTTAACTTTTATTTTATGGCATAAGCCGGTAAACGAGCAGACGGATCACCTGATGGTAAGCAATCGGCGTCGCCCATGGACACCTGGAACACCAGAGGCGTTACAAGTGCGTTACCGGCTTTTTGGGGATTAGGAGTTTGAGAATCGTTGGGAATTCAGGGATTGGGGAGATTGGGGAAGGGGAGGGTAATTGGGCATCTGGTAACCTCACTCACACAACGAAACACAACGCAAGCGTTGCTTCACGTCGGTTTTCTGTGAGGCCGTGGTATCATTCCCGCACTTAAACCTACCACACCCAAAAATTTCACTGATCTCTACTTAAACTTAGCAACTTGCATCTCATCCACAAACACGTCATTTTCTTTTTTTTTCGCCGCTTTATCAACCCCTTTTTCATTACCTAGTCCCAAACTCCTTGAAAACAAAATCTAACCTACATAGGTATCGCTAAACATTGTTCTGGCCCCTATTCTTTGGCACAAAAGACGTAAGAGGCACTTTAACCCAAGAAAGTGCACAAGCACCCGTTCACGTGGCACCCATTGTTTTTCACTCTTAGATCTCCCCTTTATAGATAAGGGGTTGGCTGCGGACTTCAGATCGTCTTTGATAGACCAGGTATCAAGATTTTTATTTTATATTTTTATTCTTTGAAAATCATTGTTTAGGTTGTTGTTTTTAAGTGTTGGTGTGGTTGTGTCTGGTTTTGGGGTTGTTTGTTACAGTAATATAGTAATTGTAGTATTATTTTTGTTGCTTTTTGATGGATTGGTGGCAAAAAACGTCTTCATGAAGTATACAGAGCGAATATGAATGAGGCTGTCGGTAGAGCGCGCCCTAGATGGATTATTCTGACCAGCAGCTGTAGCCAAATGCCACTTAGCGCTTGTCTACATGTAGAATAGAAAACCAAATTATATGGAACTAGCTTTTACCCTCGGCTTCGCTCGCGTCACAAAAGGATAAAAGGTAGCATATGTGACATATACACACAGCGCCATCTATACCAATGATTTCGTGTTTCCTCGAGAATAACAAATTTTTCCGGTATAAAAAGTACCCTTTTATTTAATCCAGACTTCTAACTTTACGTCTTACTTCTATTTAGTAGTTACGGAGTGAAAGCGAAACAAACAAATGAACTCACTTTCCAATTTATAATATTAGTAAGGATTGACGTAAATTTTGACACTTGTCAGTGTCATCCTCATACATTTTGATTTCTACTCTCTCTATGGAATCCGAGACCACTTGCCCGGCAGTCGCACTTGCGACCACTTGGCCAACGAAGCAGTATTTTGAAATATAACCAAAAAAACGTAATGAAAAGGCCATATTTTATTCAAAACTTTTATTTATTTCAGTTTTCATTCAGTTATCGACTCCAAAAACATATGATTATACTAATAGTACAAATATTTCTAAATTATTTAAGTACAAGATTTTACTTGAAGTAAATTTCAGTAAATTAATCTAGGAAACGCCTTTGGACTATAATAATAACTATTACATAATAATTAAAACAAAACGTGTTAAAAATAAAAAGAAAATCATTAAAAAAAACACAAAAACTTTGACTGAATAAAATGACAAATTTACTAAAAAAATAACGTAAAATTTCACACTATAAAATGCAAAAAAATTAACAAAATGCAAAAACATTGTTTTATGAAATTAAAATAATTATAATTATGTAGTATTTACATAGCCACTAACTCAAATTCTAATCTAAAAGTAATTTTTCAGTCTCATTCAGATAATTATCTGATGATATTTTATTTACATAAGCTAGGTACTTAAATTTATTAAACACAATACATTTTATTGGCTAAAAATTATTTTTAGGCCCATAAATAAATGTAATTAAAATCGATAGTTCGAGGTGAAAAAAGTTTAAAACTAAAAACTTATGACTTATTTTACAAATTAAACATATATTTTATTTAAAATTAAACTTACATTTAATCAGTTTTTGCTTAAAAAGGATCTCTATTTTCCAAGAACACGCCCTAGATTATATCTTAACATTTTATTCTCTAGAACTTATTTTTAAAAAATGAAATAGTAAATTTTAATTCTAAGTAATTACAACGTAACTTAAACTTAGAACAGTAAGATAACTTATAATATTATTCTTTTCTTTGACATGAACACTTAAAGCTTTTTAATTTTAGGCTCGTTTGTCAAAATTTTGACATAATTAAAGTCGTGCGAAGTATACTTAAAATGGAGACAATTCTTTGCATCAAAGTTATTTTTAATTATTTTTGCACCAACGCTAAGTAAAACGCTTTATTCTTCTTAATTACTACGTGTTCTCATTAGTTCTCAGTTTTTATCAAAATAATTTTATTATAAGTTGATCAAAGACCACGTCGATTAACGACCACACTAAAGAATTTTTGCTAGTAATAATAATTAATGACTTTCATTTTGTATAATATCAATAGTCACAGAAAGTATGTTTTACCTAATACGCCTAAAATGTAGAAATAAATATAATTTTAAAGAAAACACTAATCTTTTTATTCTGCTTTCTGTCATTGTTAGGTCGAATTCTAAAAAACGTTTAAGAATTAAAGCTCCCATCTGACAATATAAGTTTAAAGATAGAGTACCTACTAAGTTTGATATGAAATTCGATAAAATATAAAAAATAAAATTTAAATCCGAGTGAATAGTTTGCTTATGGGCAGACGTGCTCCATCGTAGATCGCATCATCGCTATCACTAGGCGAGATAGTGGCCAAACGACAATTATATAAAAAAAGTTTAGTTACTTTTTTAATTTGAACGTAGGCTGAGCTCTTCGTAATTCATTGATCGTAATCAATTAGTACTATTGTTAATTTCTGCAATCAATTTGATTTATTTGTTTAATTAACATTACATAACATTGTTATGTTACGCCTTTTATCCCCAAAGGGGAAGACAGAGGTGCACATTACGGCACTGAATGCCACTGTACAATGTAACACCCACTTTTCACTCTTTATGTTACGTGTTCTATGTAATAGGAGGTGAATTGATAACATTAGTGCAAATATAATTAAAAATCAACAATTTGCGTCGTGTCTTCGACACGGTAATACATTTTATCTTTAAGATTAAGTATAGCTATACCTTACAAAAGAGTATGAAGTTACATGGTAAGTTAGAGTTATATTTTTATGCAGTAGAATAAAAAAAAAGTTCGAATAAAGAAAATTAAGTTTAGTTTTAAATTTCCAATAAGGTGGTAAACTTATTTATGGATCTATTTTGTATTTATAAAAGTCTTTTTTTACCTGTTTTACTCTTTTGATTTTCAACAATACTTTTTGAGTCAGATCTATGTCACATGCAAGTAAAATTGGTTGATTAAGGTAGCCAAAAATAACTATAAACAAACAGATTTTTCCATTACAACAGAACATTACCTTAATAGATAGTGACGACTTTAGCTGCTCAATGCTTTCATACATAAATCAATTTAAAAACATTAACCAAATAAAAAAAAACAACCCTAATTACCATGTCACTTCCTCGTTTCAATTTAAAATCTTTTAATATTTAAAAACATTTGATGTATTTTACCTAACTACTCATCATTTAATTAAACGTGTGTCCCCGATGTCAGCTGGGACCCATTACCTGAAAACGAAAAGTAATATTAATAAAATGCAACGGTAATCATCATTTATTATATCTCTCATAACCCTCGGGGGATAGGAGAAATAAATTCTGCTTTATGATGATTGTGATTGAAAAATAAATTTAAAAATTCGTCATATGTATGTCACGAATTTTATTCGACGAAGGGTTGAACTGAGGCACATTAAAAATGTAACATCTATCACTTTATACTAGTTATGGCATGGATTACATTTAATGAGGGGCGAGCTAATTGGCGTATTTTTTTTAAGACCGGAAAATCATCGAATTGCTTTCCCCGCCTGGGTGAGGCGGGAGGGAGTGTCAGACTCTTACTGACTAAAAACTACCCAGTTCCTACTCCTGCATTTCTTTAAGTTAAGTTCTCCGCGGCTTTATTTGGCGGTATAATATAATCATCAACGTCATCAACAGTCGAAAGACGTCAACAGCTGGAAAAAAACCTCCTCCTTAGTCCTTCACGTCGAACGATAACTCGCCACCTGCATCCACTGGCTCCCCGCAACTCTGGCGATATCGTTGGTCTACCTTGCGGGAACCCTACCCACGATATATAAACTAATCTCTGAATTAAAATATTCCATTGTAAAGCTGAGAAAATTTTAGCCGGGAAGCGAATCCAAGAGTTATGTTTCCAATAACTCAGGCAAAGACTCAGTCTAGACTCTAATTAATCTCATTCCTCTAAACTGAGAATTAGAATTTTTCACAATCACCTGATATAAATCCCCAAAATTTGTTCATACAAAATTAGTCTCTAAACAGCGGAAATAAGGTTTACAATGGAGTTAGTAGCCAGTTGTCACCAGTTGTGAGTTCCTATTAAGTAACAGAGGACAATCGTAATAATATTTGCAAACATAGGAATTTGTGTCTTATTAGCCAAACAGATAAGACACAAATTCCATCTTTATCCCAAAAGCATTAAGGTTGAAAATAATCCTTAGTTGTGCTACAGCTTACCTTTGGTAGTGATCTGATTGGACTGCAAGTTTCCTTGACTGGACGGCGGAAGTATATACAAAGCTCCTGAAGACTGCGAAGATGATTTAGGCACCTGAATAAAATTGGAACTTATACAGTGCTGATAGAGTTTAATTCACAATATTTATATTTTATATTATATTATACAGAACTAATTGGATTGTTTTGTTATGTTGGTCTAAATAAAAATAGAGTTTATATAGTTCTGATAGGTCTGAAATTAGAATACTCGTACGTAATTTATTGTCCCTCGATTTGATAATGGTCTTCACATTTCTATTTTAAAACTGATTGCAAAAAAACTCACTTCAAACAGAAATTCATTATTCATTAACTAGCTTCTACCTACGAATTAGGACGAGTAATCCCGTTCCTGTAAGATTTTTGTGAAATACTTAGATTGAATCTATTAAGTATCCCATGTCCGTCTCCTGGTTTTAAACTACCTCCCCACCAATTTCCAGCCAAATTGATTAAACCGTTCTTGAGTTATAAATAGCGTAACCAACACTACATTATTTTATATATTTATACGAATAATGTAGATTCTAATGGCCATATAGTTACATCGTGAAGTGAAAAAATAAAACATAACATAACATTACGCCTTTTATCGCGGAAAGGGTAGGTTACAGGGCACACATTACGGCACTTAATGCCACTGTACAATGTAACACCCACTTTTCACTATTCATATTATGAATCTCATGTAATTGAGGTTGAGGGTGAAAAAATTACCTTTTTATTAAAAACCCTTAAAATAAATAAAAAATCATAATAATATATACACAATCACATAAAAACATGAACGGTAATGATAATAAGATATTCCCTAATTAACTTGGGTAACCATAACACACATTAGACCTTGGGGTGTAATACGAAAAGTTGGGGAACACTAAACGATAGCCACCCTTTGCCTAAATAATATATGCCATAGTTTGCTAACGACTTTTGAAGCTTAAAGTTCAAAGTTACATTTAGTGGGCAAAGCGAATATTAAGTTACAAACTCATGGTAAAATTTTAAAGAGGTCTAAACTACAGTGTGTTTTACATAGCTGTTTGGTATAGATATATCATATTTTCTATCTGAAAGGAAAGGTTGAAACTGTTGAAGTTTTTTTAGAGATATGCGGTGTGAAACCTAAGTAGACTAGAAATTTAAATAATAATATTATTAAAATTAATAATTTTTGAAAGATTTAGATAACAACGACCAGTCTCAATAGGAATAAGTAATTGATATAACTAGAGAAGTGATGATAAAACAAAGAAAATGATAAAACTTGACAATTATTATACTCTTTTTTCTTAAACGCAGACCAACAAGACAATCCGTACAAAAGTAGACTTTTTAGGACTTTATTTGAGCATTGTTAATACTAAAACAATTGAAAGAAAAGAAAACAAAAAAATCTCCTCAAAAAATCTAAAATTCCTATTCCCAAAAGGCTGGTAGCGCACTTGTAACACCTTTGGTATTTCGGCTGTCCTTGGGCGACGCCGATTGCTTACCATCAGGAGATCCGTCTGCTCGTTTACCGGCTTATGCCATAAAAACAATACTTACTTGAGGCTGTGCACCACTATTCGTTGACGAAGATGACGCCATTGGACTGGTGACGGGCCTCGAAGAAGATGATGATGAAGGTGAAGTTACTGATGGCACTGTTGAGGAAACATGTGATGTGAATGGTATTTTCAAATAACTTTGTACTAAAGCTAATTATGGCAAAGATTTTAATATAATGGTAATCTTTTTAGGTAGTCTATTAGTAATTATTCTCACGGCTAGTTTTAACACTAGGATTAGGAATCAACTACGCTTGCGTCGTGTTTCGTCGTGTGAGTGAGGTTACCGGAGGCCCAATTACCAAAAATAATTCACATTAAACAATTCAATCTCTTGTTAGAAAATCTAAAGATATAATATCTATTATCGTATTTTTTTTTAGGTATAAGCCCGCCACAACCTCCCAAAACCGCTGCAGCTCCTGTAAGCCAGGATCTACAGTAGATACAACCATGAAAATCGACGCGTGCCAGGGATATGAGTAACTCTCCTGGTTCCCGCAACGAAGTGAATCAGAAGATATTATAAGAGGAGAAGAAGAAAAAACTATGGTTTCCACTTCCCTCGGTGAATTACTGCACTATTATATCGTATATCGAATATGGATGAGAGATCTCACGGATGAGAAATACAAAAGTAATAAGTATGACGATATCGATATTAAGAAATTTTTTATAACTGCAACCAAAATACGAAGAAAAAACCATTGATTGCTGAAGTTTGTACAACTTTACTTAAAAGTATGTAAGTAAATTTAAAAGTAGATCAACCACTTCTTAATCGCATATTAAAAATTGCATCGCGTGCCGATTTTGTACCACTGCATTTAATGCAATGTTTTTTTTTTTTTTTTTAATAAAAGCTGTTTATTTCTCGTAAAATACAGTTTTATACAAATCTTAACTTAATCTTAAACTTAAATAGAGAAGATTTTACAGTTAAGGAGTTGCTATTTCATTACAATTCATTAAATGTCGCTTGAATATGTTATAGGTCTGCCTTTTATTTTTGTTTTCCAGTTTACAAACTATGTGTTTTGGCAACTTGTTTAGTATTCGGGCAAGACTGACATTCCATACTCTCTCACCATAATCGTTATGACATTTTGGTATTTCAAAGGTAGGGAGATAGTCTAGTTTACGTAATGTGTTTAGTCTTTTTATTGTATTCAATTTACACATGTCACTACTGTACTGAGTTACAATTGCTAAATCTCTCTTATCAAATATACTCAAAACTTTACAATAATGAAACAAGTTGTGATAGTTATCTTTGTTCTTGAATTTAACTTTTAGAGGAACAATTGTTTTTAAAATTCTAATTTGCAAATTATATATATCATTTAGATATGTTTTATACGTTCTTCCATAGCTAGTTAAGCCATAACTTATGACCGAATCAGCTAAAGACATATACATAAGTCTCAGTGTTCTATATGGCACTTTATGTTTGAGCACACATAGTTTTGACAAAATTGCTCTTAGCTTGTTACATATTAGGTTAACATGTGATCTCCAGTTAAACTTATGATCTATTATTAGTCCAAGGTAGGTGTGTTCTTTCACGATTTCAAGTTTCCCACATTTACAAGCATTATTGTTTATATGCATACAACTGTGCTCATGGGCGACGATCATCGGCAATGAAGCTGCTTTTTTGTAAGGCGAGTGTATATATATTAATTTAGTTTTACTATAATTAATTGATAATCCTAGATCATGAGCCCATTTGCACAATGTATCAAAATCTTCCTGCATCATACTTTGCGCCTTGATAATGTCTTTATGAGCAGAGATCAAGCACGTATCATCGGCAAATTGGTACACCGAGACATGCTGGAATACATTACACATATCATTTACGTATAATAGATATTCTGTCGGTCCTAGTACTGATCCTTGGGCCGTGCCATATTGTGTTCGTATTTGGTCGCTCTGCTCCCCAGCTATACTTACAGCATTATATCTATTTGTATGATAATTTTTAAGCAATTCCAACATTGGTCCCTGTATACCATTTTGTTCCATTTTTTGGTACAGTTTTTCAAAATTCAATGTATCAAACGCTTTGCTAAAATCAACCATAACAGCTAAAACATGGTTCCTATTATCTAAGTGCTTATTTATTTCGTCTGAAAAAGTTGCCAGTAACTGAGAAGTACTTTTATTTCTTTGAAATCCGTACTGTTTTTCATGCAGAATGTTGTTACTTGCAAGAAAGTTATTTATTAAATGCCCAAAGTATTTTTCAATTATTTTATTTATACATGATAGTATTGTTATTGGTGTATAATTATTTGTATCATCATGTTTACCCTTTTTATGTATCGGCCTAATGAGACCTATCTTTAGCCTATCTGGATATATTGATCGAGTAATACATGTGTTAATTAGGTGATAAGTTTCTTACTAAACTTCATAAAAATTAATGGTTAAATACGTTAGCTAAAAATCGGGGGTTACTCACGTGAAATTACTAAGTAAAGCTACTTTACTTTACTAGTACTGTTCTTCCTTATGAGCAGTATGCGCGTTCGCGGCGATGTCGCGCACGCCTACTGTCAGTAGTAACCCGCGATTTTTAGTTAATTAAGTATGTCTTACGATAGTTATTATAAAAACATAACATTTCATGTTACATAGTGCACTATAACATGAACATAACATCACGCCATTTATCCCTGGAGGGTTAGGCAGAGGTGCATATTACGGCACTTAATGCCACTGTACAATGTAATACCCACTTTTCACTATTTATGTTACGAGTCCCATGTAATAGGGGGTGAGCCTATTGCCATATACCGGGCACAGTTCCAGACTCCGTGCTACTGTTGAGACTTTTAAAAACTCAATAATACTTTGCCCGACCCGGGAATCGAAGACCCCTTGCCTGGCAATAGCACTTGCGATCACTCGGCCAATGAGGCAATATAATAGTCTACTATAGCATTATATTTACCAAAACTGGGACGGTAGCCTTACGGGTGATATACCAATAAAGTAAGTAAAAAAAAACAACAATTACCATATAAATTACTTGGTGGATGATTGGCATTTCTGACAGTATAGTAAGGAGGTGGTGCGGGCTTCCCAACCGGGTTGGTGCTCATTTGTTGAACGTATGCTGTAAACAAAAGATTTGGTTTAGTTTTGATGTTAGATTATATTAATGAAATATAACAAAACTAGCTTCTTTCAGAGGTTTCTCCCGCGTTGCGGTGGGGTCTGCCTATGTCTGATCCTAGACCATAACCTACTGCTGTTCCAAATTTGGTTTCGATCTCTTCAGCTGTTTTGACGTGAAGGAGTTACAAACGAACATACAAATATAATGAGAGCATTTTAATTGAGACACTACCTGACCCGGCGAACTTCGTACCGCGTAATACTCGTACCTACTCTATCCCACTCTACCCTGCTCTACCCTACTCTACCCTATTCTACCCTTTTCTACCCTATTCTACCCTATTCTACCCTTCTCTACCCTACTCTACCCTAATCTACCCCACTCTACCGTACTCTACCCTACTCTACCATACTCTACTACTCTTTTGACACTTGTCAGTGTCATCCCCATACATTTAGTTTTCTACTCTCTCTGTAGACAAGCGCTAAAGTGGCGTTTGGCTAAAGGCACTGGAACCTTTTACTCATACGTTAAACTTCCATCGACCTTGTGATTAAATAAATAGAGTTCAAAATTGAACTTACCCACAGGAGCACCACCTCTCAAATATGGATTCCCATAAGTGGCAGTATATCTTACATCTTCTCCTGTCACAACTACTCCTGGACCAGACATAGGAATCACTGTGAAAGAAGTACCTGGTTAGTGTTTGTTAAAAATAGAACTCTAATCATTTACGTTTAAAATCATTAATCGAGTAACGTGATTCTTCACATTTAAAAAAAAACATATAGATCGTTGGCCCAGTGCAGTAGTCGCAAGTGCGACTGCCGGGAAAGGGGTCTCGGGTTCGATTCCCGGATCGGGTAAATATGATTGGGTTTTTTTATAATTCTCAGCAGTAGCAGGGAGCCTGGAATTATGTCCGGTATAGCAAATGGCTTACCCCCTATTTCAAGGGACTCATAACATAAATAGTGTAAAGTGGGTGTAACATTGCACAGTGGCATTAAGTGCCGTAATGTGCACCTCTGCCTACCCTTTCGTTGTTATGTCATATAAATAATTTAAAAATAAATATAATTACTAAAAATAAGTATTATTTATCTAGTTTCTTTGTCTATTACCTATTAAGAGAAACACAATGACCCAGTTCTATTCAAAAGGTGACAATAGGTGTATATTAAGCCAATCCTTCTATTGTAGCAGAATACTATTGACCAGATACGAGCATTGGATAGGATTTCATGGAAACGAACTAATTAGAGTGGACAAAAACCGTTGTGTTCAGACTGAGCACATTGTATTTAGTTCTCTCACTAGGTACTACCTACTGAATAATGAAAAAAAAAACATTCCTAAAATTACTTTTGGCAAGTTAAATATGCTCTTGACGAGTCGTGGTCGCCCGGAGGTTTAAGACGCCCGCTTCTCTTGAATGAGGGTACGGCTTCGAAACCTACCAACGACAAGTACCAATGTGACTTTTTCCGAGTTATATGTACGTTCTAAGATTATCTAGACACCACTGACAAACGGTGAAGGAAAACATCGTGAGGAAACCTGAGCTTATAATTTCTAAATTATAAGTTTGTAATCGGCAACCCGCATTGAGCAAGCATGGTGATTAATGTTCAAACCTTCTCCGTGTGAGAAGAGGCTTTGCTCAGCAGTGGCCATATATAGGCTGTTGACGATGATGATAATATGATCTTGTATAGAATAACGCTCTAACAAATATAACATTTTAATACTCAAATTATTGATTTAATTTAATATTGAAACAATATTAAGATTACTAGAAGCCTGTTCTCCCGAAAATAGCACCTTCACGTAGACAAACAAAGTGTTTAACTTCCAATAGTGATTATTGTAATGTAACCTTTAAACTAAATGTACCTAACTGAAAGTAAATATGACCTATATACATGAAAACCAAATATAACTAGCTTCTGCAAGCGTATTTGCCCGCGTTCCCGTAACATAACATCACGCCTTATTACCCCGAAGGGGTAGGCAGAGGTGCACATTTCGGTGCTTAATGCCATTATACAATGTAACACCCACTTTTCACTATTATGTTATGAGTCCCATGTAATAAGAGGGGAGCCTATTGCCATATTATATCGGGCACATTTCCAGACTCCGTGCTACTACTGAGGTCTTTAAAAACCCAGTAATACTTTGCCCGACTCGGGAATCGAACCCGAGACCCCATGCCCGGCAGGCGCACTTGCGACCACTCGGCCAACGAGGCAGTCATTGCCCGCGTTCCCGTAGAATTAAAAATGCCTAAGCGGTATTTCAGACCATACTTCCTCTGTTCCAAATTTCATTGATCCCTTCAGCTGTTGTGACGGGAAGGAGTAACAAACAAATAAATAAACATACACATTTTATAGTCTTAGTAAGATTTATCAACAGCCTATAAATGCCCACTGCTGAGCAAAGCCTCTTCTCACACGAAGAAGGTTTGCGCATCAATTACCACGCTTGCTTAATGCGGATTGGCGATTACAACCTTATAATTTAGAAATTATAAGCCCAGGTTTCTTCACGATGTTTTCCTTCACCGTTTGTCAATGGTGTTTAGATAATCTTACAAAGTACATAAAACTCGGAATGTGTCACATTGGTAATTGCCGTTGGTAGGTTTTGAATCCGCGCCCTCATTAATGAGAAGCGGGCGTCCTAAACCTCGGGGCCACCACAACAGTCTTAGTCAGACTTAGTGGGTTTTTTTTTTAAACGTTGCCCCACACTAGGTTTATCTCCTGTGTCGTGGGTGCGTTTACAAACATACAAGTTCACATACACACGACAGCCAGACCCGAAACAACGTGGATCACACAGTGTTGTTCCATGCGGGAATCGAACCCGCGACACGTTGCACGGCAGCCAGTTGCCCAGCCACCGCACCAACCGTGCACTGTGCAGTCAAATGATCTACTATTTATTTCAAAAATACTGAGATTTTTGTCGTGGCGCAACGATGTCGCTCCGTGGACACATGCTTGATAGGTTGTATGCAAGATGCAAGCATTCGTCTTGAAATCACGGTGCTGCGAGGCTGCTGCGTAACTTGTCGCGGGTTCGATTGCCACATGGAAAATTTCTTTGTGTGATCCACAAGGTTATCGTTCCGGGTCTGAGTGTGATGTGTATGTGAATTTACAAGTTTTGTGACGTATTCAAAGTCAAAGTCAAAGCATTTATTTCAACTAAACCATAATTTGGTACTTTTGAAACGTCAACAAATACAAAATAAGTAATGAAGCTAGGTGCTCATTTCAAAATGTAGTTTCGAATGGAGAAGAACGAACAAGAAACTCCATTCGTTACTCTTTTTTAAAAAAGTATGTTCTACAATGTCTCTGATACATATTCCAATACTGTATGTATATGTGAGAACAATGCAAAGACACGCTTGACACATTATAAGTACTAATTACAAACCTTACTAAAATAATAAAAATAAAAAAAGTCTTATAGTCTAACATGGTGCTCACATATGCATACTGATAATCCATAATATTCACGATACAGAAGAAATTCTCAGTAAAGGGCAACGTTTATCACACTAATATTATAAAAAAAATTGAGTATTCTTTGCTTGAATGTTTATTCCTCAATCACCCTGAAACTACTAAACGGATTTTGATGAAATTTGGTATACATTAAGGATATGGGCTGACTTATGTGACAGGATTTTTATCCCGATTAAATTCTCCCATGGGATAATACTAGAACACGCGGGCAAAGCCGCGGGTAAATCTAGATGTAAATAAAACTGTCAATAGTCGTACAGTTTACGTGGACAATAAGCCCTACAGTACATTAGACCTTAGAATAAAGTACGTAAAGTTCCTTTTATGAACTTACCATCAGGCCCAACGATGCCCCCGAGTCTGCCACAGCTCTGCTGCCGATGTAAGGACCCACAATGACTGGGGTAGGTAGACCCATCAGTGCTTCTTGACAGGGAGCCTGACATGGAATCTGATGGTACTGGTGGGGCGTAGTCTCGAGAGTAGTCCACGTATGGCACGTAACCGTTGCTTTGGCCATGATGCTGTGGACAAAAGAGGCGGCTTAAAAAAGGAATTATTTGAAAATTATCGTAAACGTTTATTTATTTACGTGGTCTCATGCAAGACGTAACATAACATCATGCCTTTTATCCCCGAAAGAATAGGCAGAGATGCATATTACGGCTGTTATGCCACTGTACAATGTAACACTCACTTTTCACTATTAATGTTATGAGTCCCATGTAATAGGGGTTGAGCCTATTGCCATTATATCGGGCACAATTCCGGACTCTTACAGTAATACTGCGCCAGACTCGGAAATCGATTCCGAGACTCCTTGCCCAGCATTCGCATTTGCGACCACTCGGCCAACAAGGCAGTCTCATGCAAAAATGTATATTTGAATTAATTGAAACATAAATATTTGCGGAAACCAACATTTTTTAATCGTTTAAGTTTTTGGCAAAAGTTTCAGATAGCTGTATAGATATATCCATCTGTCTTAATATATCCATAAATCTAATTCACCAAAAATACGTAGGTACTAATCGTTTTCCGATTGAGATCGGTCAATTTCAGCCATAATTGCGTAGCCGTTATTCCAAATTGCAAAACAACACCGGAATGATTCAGAAAAAGAACCTCATAATTTTTGTTACATATAAATCGAAAATAAAATCACACAGCAAAGCAAGAGGTTGACTTTATGCTAAAGAAAAAAAAAGGCAAGAGTAAGAAAAAAAATACAATTTGTATCTTAAATCAACGTTACAAAAGTACTCTTTGACTTGCAAACATTTCCCATCGTCGTTCATAATTTTTAATTTACTTCTTAAATTACAAAAACGAAAGTTCTTATTAGATTTCAGTAATCTTAAAGAAGATATACCTTTGAACCTTTTTACTCTCACAAAGTTGAGCGAGTTCGTTATAAAATATAATATAAAGTGCTGTGTGGACAGAGTGAAAAATGAGAGAGGTATGTACATCTAGACGAAATATGACATCCTGTACATATACGGCTACACCTCAAGATATGCAAAACCATTTTAAAATGGTCTCACCTTATATAATCTTTCCGCATAATCGACGATCAATTTACACTGGTTATTATAATGTGCCGTGGTGACCTAATAAGGCTTCTCGGATTATTATTTTCCCATAATTCACTATTGTTATGCTTTATAAGTGAAACTCTACCCACGTATAAAATAATATATGTATCCAAGAAATACTGCGGGTGAGGTAAGTCCGCCTATTCACGTCCACCCACCAGTTCGCGTCCATGTTACGGAACGCCCTCTAATAATTCCCGAAAATAAGAAAAGTATCACTATATTAGTAGTATTTAATACACATTTGTTTGACATTTTCAAGATTTTATTATCTTATATTCATGGCGATCCGTAAAATGGACGTAAACTGGCGAGAGACACGAACAGGCGAATTTACCCTATATGTCTTTTCTTGTGAAGCGTACGGTCGAATAAATTTCACAGAACATGTTTTGCAGAATTACAGAATTACAGTATGTTTGTATAAATTTAGAAATTAGGATCATGTTAGGAAAGGTTTCGTATGTTTTAGGAACGAAAATACATATAAGGAATATGTTGTAAATGTGAACGTGTGTGTAGGATATATCTGTAGAATTTTAGCTCAGCGTAGGTTTCCGGGTCATAATGCGGTTTTTGATTTTTATATAAATTGGCTTAATACACTCAGTAAAGATTTTTGATAATTACTTTCTTTTCAGAGCTGACGTCAATATTTCTTTTGTATAGTGATCGTAAAGCTAAGGACTGATCTAGGGGACAAATGTCCCAAAACATGTATCGGCGACATGTCGAGCGAAATTAGGCGATGTCGCTGGTCATATACGGTGGCAACGTGCAACTTATATACACGTTGATGTTGCCTGAGATGTCGACCAAAGTGAGTTTAAAGCGTGGGAGAGCCATGGAGAGTAGTGATACCACGCCCTCATAAAAAAACCGACGGGAAACAACGCTTGCGTTGTGTTTCGTCGCGTGAGTGAGGTTACCAGAGGCCCAATTACCTCGCCCCCGTTACCCTTCCGCAATCTCTGATTCCCCAACAACCCTGAAATTCCTAATCCCAAAAGGCCGGTAACGCATTTGCAACGGCTCTGGTGTTCCAGGTGTCCATGGGCGACGCCAATTGCCTACCATCAGGTGACCCGTCTGCTCGTTTACCAGCGTATACCATAAAAAAAGTCCAGCAACGTCGCTGGTGACATGTGTCGCAGGACATTTGTCCCTCAGTGTATACTTGGCTTTAATGTTACTTCGGTAAAGAAGTCTCAAGTTTAATTTCTAAGTAACACTGTTGATCAATTATTTTATCGGTTCTAGAAGTAAGTATAATAATCTAGTGAACGTTCACGAAATTTTTATAAAACAGCATTTTGTCATCGAAAAACTATTTTGTACCTATTTAAAAACTCCCTATAAATTTTCGAGCTTGCGAACTGCATCAACCACATCCACACAAACTTCACACATAAAATGAAATTTATAAATCCATTCAACACGATCTTCATCCCAAGAGTTGGAGTGTAAATATTTAATTTCTAATTCCACACACCTTGCTCGGTAGAGACTAACAATAAATCTACTTCTTACTTCTTCTAAACACATTGGGAACAGCTTTTTGCACTAGACAACCTAGTGCTAGTAAACAAGGTTGCCTAGTGCAAAAAAATTGATCTCATGTACTCATGTGTGATTTAAGAATGACACCATTTTGAATCAATCCGTTCTTTAATTATATTGAACACTAATACAGACTTCAAACTACGAAGCCATTGAAAAGAATAATAAAAACCCATCCGTGGTCCTGTATAGGTCGTACTTGGCAGTTGCGATTGCAACTACTTGATACAGATAATAAAAAAATCTTCTCACATTTCACCTGTACCAGGGATTAAAGTCACGAATCTTTTACGCATCTATTTTGAATCTTATTTCATTTTTGTCTAATTATGGAGTCTCATTTTTTTATAAGATGAGCCGGTAAACGAGCATACGGATCACCTGATGGTGTGCAATCGGCGCCGCCTATAGACACCTGAAACACCGAGGCGTTACAAGTGCGTCACCGGCCTTTTGGGAATTGGGAATTTGGGTATTGTGGGGGATTCGGGGATTGCGGAGACTGGGGAGGGGAGGGGCCTTCGGTAACCTCACTCACACGACGAAACACAACGAAAAGCGTTGTTTCACGTCGGTTTTCTGTCAGGCCGTGGTATCACTCCGGTTTAGCCGGAGATCATAATATTGTAATGAAATAGTGCATTTTTCTAATTTGAACATACCTTAAAATTCAAATTGTTGATAGGTTGGTTGAAATCCCCACTGTATCTTTGGTATTGCTTCATCAGCTCGTTGTCATACCCTGAATCTGGTACTGGTACGGGACCAGCAAGAGGTAGACCCAGGTTTGATTTGAGGTGAAGAGTTGGATGGAGGTCGGTTTCTGAACCACCGTTGGAGTTGTCCTGTTTGATGAAATGGAACCGTTTGAAACGATTGATAGCGGCTTATGCTAGCCATACTTACAGCTTAGCTATGAATTAAAAATAATGCAGAAGATTTCTTCTCAATGTATTCTTTTGTCAACAAACCTGATAAGGTTTTGGGTGGTTGAGGGTTCAGATTTTAAATTGGTATTTAAAAAAATTCTGTATTTTTTTTAATTAAGCGAGCATGTTGTTTTCATAGGTGACATGAAAAATATTAAAGTTCTGTTTACTTTTGGTTTTATACGTAAATTTTTACTGTCTACAACTACGACTCGCTTACACCTATTTTATAGGATTCAATTATAAGATTTCGTACAATATCGATAAGCCCTCAATTGGCCAAATCTTATCATGAAAGCGTATGCGGTCTGTTTTTCGAATAAAGTACAACATTTTACTCACCAAGTCACAGCTTCCTTCCACCTGTCTCAGTTCCAACTTCAGATCACTGATATTAGAACTTCTATCACAATCTTTGAACTGATCAACACAAGTCTTTCCTAAATCCGTTATGTCTGGTTTCTTGACATCGGACTTCTTGGTCTTCTTATGACATAGCATTATAATCAGCATGATTATCAACACGAAGACTATGAAGGCTGACCCTCCAGCTATTATGAAGATCATTGGAAATGTTTCTAGAAGAAAAAAAAAACAATATCTTGATATGATTCATCATCATACACCAATAGGCTCACCCCCTATTACATGGGACTCATAACATAAATAGTGAGAAGTGGGTGTTACATTATACAGTGGCATAATGTGCACCTCTGCCTACCCCTTCGGGGATAAGAGGCGTGATGTTATGTTCATACACCAATTATAGGTATTCCTAATTAAAGTACACTCGCTGTGATAATTTTAGTCCTGGACAAAAAGGTAAACTTCAATATCACAAAGATAATGCTGTCGCGACACATGTCACGCGTCAAATATCGATGACAACAAATCAACGGATGACGTCACAAAAATCCTACAGCTTTAGCATGAATAGAAAATCCCAACGAATAACTGTTGGGTAGAAAGCCCGCCAAGCACGATCACCTCGCCTGGTCGGAGGATCCTCCTTTTTCGATAATAGGGAACTTATATATAATATAGGGATAATAGGGAATAGGGAACTCTATTCCCTAAAATGCATTTGAATTTTAAGACACTTCTCTTAAAAGTTATGAAAGCAATTGGGTTCAAACCTCATCATCATCAACAGCCTATAAATGCCCACTACTGTCCAAAGTCCTCTTCTCACACGGAGAAGGTTTGAACAATAATCACCACGCTTGCTCAATGCGAGTTGGCGATTTCAAACTGATAATTAGAAATTATAAGCCCAGGTTTCCTCAAGATGTTATCTTTCACCATTTGTCAGTGGTGTCTAGATAGTAATTATTAGAAAGTACATATAACTTGGAAATGTCGTATTGGTACTTACCGTTGGTAGGTTTCGAACCCGAACTCTTCGAAATTCAAACCTACGGTCATATATTGCGATTTCGATAAATTAAAAAAAACAAAAGTCTATTAATTCGTCAATTCGTATCAGAGATCTCGCACTCAGATATATCTCTAATATCCATTAAACTATGAGTATAATCGTGCTCTAAAAAGCCGAGTTAAAATTTCTAAAGAGAATATTTTACAACATTAAAACAGAAAAATGTTCTTTGCAGGAAATTTAAAATGTCTTCAAACCAGACTGCATCGTGAAATTTTAATAATCTTCTCTAGAAATTATTCGCAGTTATATTTTCTGGAGTAAAAATTAACACGCTTTAAAATGTAAAAAAGATTGTTCATAAAAAATGCCTGTATAGCCTACTTTTTGTTTTTGGTTGAAATCTAACTCATTGTTTTAAAAGATCATCGTTGCCTATAATTCAAAGAACATTTTTTTTTCCATATTATTGAAAAATTCTAAGTCCAAATCCAAGTAATGCATCATCAGAATAATCCACAAGACGTATATTGCTGAATATAAGGCGTCCTACAGTAATATTATTTGTGAGCACGTCCCTAATTATGAAGTCTTCTACAAATGCTAAAATATTCTACATAAGGTTTCTATTCTGAAAAAAATATGGAACATAACATAACATCACGCCTTTTATCCTCGATGGGGTAGGCAGAGGGGCACATTACGGCACTTAATGCCACTGTACAATGTAACACTCACATTTCACTATTCATGTTATGAGTCCCATGTAATAGGGGGTGAGCCTATAGCAAAGACTAAAATATGGAACTATTTTATTATACTCACTGGCTGGCACCAAGTTAATCTCAATGCTGTCCATGCCATAAATGTTGACAACAGTACAATTGTAGGGTCCAAAATGTTTCAATTCACTTCTCCTTATAATAAGGGTTGATTTCGTCATCCTATCCGTTAAGGTTTCTTCCAAAAACGCATAATCCTGGAAAAAAAGAATTAATCAACACACATACACAACATTTTCTGTTACCGATAGTTAAATGACTGATAGAGAACATACAAAAAAATAAAATCAGACAAAGATTCGTTTCTCTTGAAGTGTTAGCAGGTACTATGTAGATGTAGTTTTTCAAAATTTCTACAAAACGGGTGATAACGATCCTACTAACATTATAAATGAGATAGTTAGTTTTATTTGTTTCTTACTCCTTTACATCAAAACTGTTGAAGAGATCGAGACGAAATTAGGATTATGGTCTGGAATGACACATACCTATGTAAATTAATTTTTATCCAACGGGCACGCGGGCGAAACCGCTGGCATATTTTTTTTTTGTAAAATCACAAGCGAACACTACTACTTATTATTTAAAATAAAAAAAAACTACATACAAACAAGAAAACTTATAAAAACTAAAAAGTTTTAAAGTTGTTCAACGATAACGGAAGAAACATATTCATTATGTATCTCCAAGACAAACGTTCTTCGAAAAAATGTCCTGTTTTGCGAATACATTATAGTGGTGAATCTAAAGAATTGTTTTTATCTACACAGTTTGAAAGTGTATTTTTCCATCTTTTTTGAAAAATCTCTGCCTAACTTTTGTTCCGAAGTCTCCTATTTAAATAAGAAATGAATGCCTTGCTTGTTTCCTCAGCATTTTGCGAAATGTGCACTTAAATGCAAGTTTATGGTTCTTTCATTGTTGAACGCTTGGATTTAGACGGGAATGGGGTGAATTGTTAAAGTGTTATGTAACACTAGTTGTAAAAGTATAACATTACACAATTGTAAAGGCTATACAGCGCAACCAGTCGCCGCTACCAACAAAAACAAAAGAAAGCTGGTTGCGCAACCAAGTGGCCACCAGGTAACCGACTCTCTATAGAGTTGTATATATATATTGTTAGTAGTGGAGACTGATTGTGCCGCCATAGTGTTATCAAATGTAGCCTTAACGATATGCAGCTAGCATACACTATTTAGGCATTGGTCAAATCCATGTAAGAAAATGTCAATTAAAGTGATCTGTAATTAGTCTTAGAGCTAAAATGTTGAATTGGAAGATATTCCTTCCTTTCATACAAATTGCAAACATAAGTATTCATACAATAATACTCTTGAAACAATACGTTTAAAAGCAAAGTAAGCAATAAGTCCATACATTACCATGTTAATAACACTCAAAAACGAACCTTACCTGGTTCTGATAAGAGTTGATTTCGGTGCCCTCAAAGGTCCACACGATATAGTCAGGCTTAGGGACGGCAAACGAGACACATTCTATTCTCACACTGTCCCCTTCGACTCCATATTGTGTTTGATTTGACATTATCTTCGGAGGTCCTATAAAAACACCGACATTAAAGGACCCCATAAAATTTTTCGACATTTTTCCTCAACACTCTGAATGAGCCGAAATATTTTAAGTGGGGTGTGATGAAATTGGGTTTGTACTGACCTTTTTTAAAATGGCAGATGTTATATGGGTACATTATGGATATACAAGTATGCAGTATATCTGTGTAAAAAACAGGTATCGCTTGAACGCATTTGAAAATTAATAGTACCTACCGACATCGTGGCGACATTCTATGTTTATGAATGACTGTTTCTTTTCTTTATATACGACACAAATATACTAGTACATAATACACACTGTTTATAGAGTCAAGTACTATCAACACTAAATCAATCATTCAAATTATTATAATATACTGGAGTTTTAATTTTTGTACCTTATGATGTACCTATTTAGGCTTAAAGTGGTGTTCTTTTAAGGTTTTCCACATGTAGCATAACCTATAATCAGTAACTTCTAATCTAACAATAACATCCATAATAAATGATACAAAATCAACGACAATTTAAACGCTCAGACCTTTCAACGCACTATGGAATTTGCATAAAACAAAAGTTGGTTGCAGAACTGAGTTGCCTATATGGGCATAAAGTTTTGGAAACTTACGAACTGCTAACTTGGCTAGTTCGCAAAGATGTTCAAATTGAAATGACCTCAGAAACGACGCAGCACTTGCTCCGTCCGTATGGGAACGACTTGGCTTGCCAGAGTTTGAAATCTACATCTTACGGCTTTTGTATATTTTAGAAGTTGTGCGCAAGTTTTTTAGTTTAGAATTGGATGTGTATTTTTTGATATGAATATGTAAATATGTGGAAAGTTTCTACTACATCCCTGGTAATGATAAATTTGAAGTGATAGAAATGTATGAAGCAGAATAAGAGATTGAATACGAATTTGCAATCAGATCGGAACAAATAAACAAATAAATCAACGAAAATCTTTTCTATATTGGCATAATTAACTCGTCGAGTACCGGTTTTGTAGACACAATTATAGAACAATAGGTTGCGGTCACCCGTGACCGCTTGGTGTTTGACAGTTTAAATAAAGAAATAGAAATTTATCAATAGCTTAGACTATTTTGAGACTATGCACAACGCTTATTTTATAATCCTCGTCTGAAAAGATCAGAGGTATCTTATATTATTAAAATATATGTTTTTATGGGTAAGTCGGTAAACGAGCAGACGGGTCACCTGATGGTAAGCAATCAGCGTCGCCTATAGACACCCGGAATACTAGAGGCGTTACAAGTGCGTTACCGGCCTTTTGGGGATTAGGAATTTGAGGATTGATAGAAATTTAATATTTTACCTTTGATATACACCATTACAGGAGCTTGCACATCTTGACGGTTTTCTATGCTCGCTTTGCACCAGTACTGACCAGCTGAATGTGGTGTCACTGTGATCGTCAAGTTTGGAGATTTTCCCACTCTCTGTTACAACAAAACATACATTTAAAATATTTATATTTTAAGAGTACATGCAAAGAAGTTGACTACATGGTTGCTGTAGTTACTGGGTTGTGCTTATCGTCTGCTGTGAAGGATATCTCAGTTTTTATAATCTCCTGATCATTATTATTATAGTGCACAAGTGTAACCTTTAGACTCGTGGACTAATAATGGTCATTTTATTTAGAAAATGCCATTATCTATTTTTGCCTGATATGAAAATCGAACCCGCGACACGTACAACAATCGGTTACCCAACTGCGCCAACCGGAAACAAACCGACGCGAGCCTATATGCTCATTTGTGACATTTGTTTTTTGCAACTGACTGTAAAAGAAAACATCGTGATTGATTTCCCGCACTGAAATATTTTTTTGTTATTCTGCGTCATGTTTATTCTGAACTAATATCTTTCCTACGCTTATACTTTCTTCTTTTTTCTTTCTATCTTTTTGTAGGTACTTACAATAAGCCTCTCATTCTCGTATCTCAGCCATTGGATTTTCGGTGGTGGATGACCATCTACGATACAGGACATTGTAGCTGAAGTTCCCGTTTCACCTTCTACATTTTGAGGTTGAACTTTGATCGTTGGTCCATCTGTAACAAATTGGATTTCTAAAACATCTAATTTAATTTGTGTACCAACTTTGATCAGTTCGCGTTAAATTTAGAGTACCTATATTATAAACCTTTCTCCTTAGTTTGAGTCACTCTATCGATTAAGAAAACCGCATCCAAATCCGTTGCATAATTTTATAGATCTAAGTACATATAGAGACAAACAGAGGAAAGCGATGTCTGTAGTGTTTTTGGTGTTGTGACTGATCGATTTTTTTTATGGCATAAGCCGGTAAACGAGCAGACGGATCACCTGCTGGTAAGCAATCGGCGTCGCCCATGGACACCTGGAACATTAGAGGCGTTACAAGTGCGTCACCGGCTTTTTGGGGATTAGGAGTTTGAAGATCGTTGGGGATTCAGGATTCGGGAGATTGGGGAAGGGGAAGGTAATTCGGCCTCCGGTAACCTCACTCACACGACGAAACACAACGCAAGCGTTGCTTCACGTCGGTTTTCTGTGAGGCCGTAGTATCACTCCGGTCGAGCCGGCCTATTCGTGCCGAAGCATGGCTCTCCCACACTTAATCGTGCGTTATGAATACGATGTTATATCCCCAAGCGGTCACCGGTGACCGCTCTCCACTAACTATATTATAGACCTTATTTCCAATGTTTAAGGACAACTTTTGTATGAACAAATTTAGGGGATGATTTTCAACAAATATCAACAGGTTAACAGAAAAATAAATATTACTTTGGGTATGTATGTACATACGTGTTTTGGTATATCCTTAATTTTGGTTCCGAAGAGACCTAAAACTTAGGACAATTTTCATTTTATATACCGAACACTATTCCAGATTTTGTAGTAGACATTGTTTAAAACTGTTTTTAAGCACGACACAGGGAAAATAGAAATTTGAGATATACTTTTTATTTATCCCTATATACAATAAGATTCATTAGCCACGTTGTTAATAATTAGCATCATCAACTAAGTTAAAACAAGGCATCGGGAAAAAATTCTTAGAAAAATTCAACAATATAAATTTTAGCCTGCTTTTAGTATGGAATAATATTAAACAGCTAATTAAAACGTAACCGGGTTTAAAATAAACGCCAGCTTGTTATAACTTGATTTTCTTGAAATATACACGTATTTTGTTGTAATATTTAAGTAGCTGTACTAAGCTTAAATATTATAGAAAATGGCTGTATAACGTTTTATAATTATTATCACACTTGTATTTACGTAGACAGACAGATAACTTATACCTGCTTTACTTTTTTGTTTAGCAAAGGCTGAGTTTTTTTTTAAGTTGAAGTTTTTTTTTTAATAACGTTACCCCACTCTAGGGCTTTCTCCTAGGTCTTGGGTGCGTTTACAAACATACAAGTTCACATACACATGACATCCAGACCCTGAACAAGAATCTGTGGATCACACAGAGACCTGATCCGTGCGGGAAACGAACTCGCGACACGTTGCGTGGCAGTCAGTTAGTCAGAACCACTCTCTCGCCTGGTAGTATTAAGTGATGATGTGACCAAAGATGGAGTACGCCTTGCCTAGAAGCAACCCAATCACTTCTGTCTTGAATACCCCTTTTATTTAGGGGGGAAATCATCGAATAACTGCTCCCGCCTGGGTGAGGCGGGAGGGAGTGTCAGACTCTTACTGACTAAAAACCACCCGGTTACCCGTTAGGTTCTCCGCGACGTCTTGAATACCCTTAGGATACAATTTTCTGAAGACTACTCCATAGTTTATCAGATGTATTTTTTTTAAGGGGTGAAAATCCTCACCCAGTCGGTAGAGAGTATCAGAATCTTACTGACAAAATACCACCCCGTTCCTACTCCTGCACTTCGAGCTGGATCCCCGATAATCCGTTAAGTTCTCCGCGGCTCCGTATTGGCATCAGTCCTATTGAGCCCCATCTGTGGTGGTCTGAGGACTCTTTCAGGCGCGTGCGGAACGCGACGCGCCGCACTTTCAGGTCTGGTTCTGGTCGGGCGACGAGCTACCCATGCTCGCAGCCCGCAGACCCGTGCTTAAGGTGGCAGGAGATGATTATCAGATGGGTTGGAGATCGTAATTTAAAAGTCTGAGTGAATAGGTTGCTTATGGGACGACGTGCTCCATTCCATCGTAGACCACCTTACCACCAGGCGAGATAGTGGTCAAACGTCGGCCCATCAAATATATAAAAGAGAGAGCATTAGTAATGAGTAATCTCTTAACGGACTATTACGATGCGAGAAGAATAAGAGTGGTGTCAAAGAAACTGTTACTCCTGCTAATTTCAAGTACGAAAGCATGCTTTAATTGAGCACTTGTCACTTAGTAGCATGAATGTCGGAATGTTGCTCAAAATTAGCATGTTCATTTCGGACCGAGAGGCGTTCGATTTTTGAACATTTTTGAGCATGCTCAATAGAACGCTTTTTAGTATTTTTTTAGCTTTTTAGTAGAGCATGTATTACAGTTCCTTGTTTCTACTCTGTTATCTTGAAAGTGACCTGTGCCTTTAGCCAAACGCCACTTTAGCGCTTGTCTACCGAGAGAGTAGAAAACTAAATGTATGGGGATGACACTGACATTAGTGTCAAAATTTACGTCAATTCCATATAATTTGGTTTTCTATTCTACATGTGGACAAGCGCTAAATGGCATTCGGCTACAGCTGCTGAATATTCCAGCATAACCAATAAAGAAGCTACAAAGAGTAAAATGTTTGCAGAATACACGTTGATGGCTGACTGACATACCGTAGTATAAAGGAAGCTTCCTGCTATGAAGATAAAAGAATGAAGACTTATATTTACACTTACTAGGATAAGTAAGATAAAGTCAGAGTGAGAGAGCTGAATAAAATAAACACACTTTTTTAATGTTGCCAATTAAGACTGGGTATGATTATATACAGCTAAGATGCCTCAATGGTTGATTGGATATCTATATAAATAAAATTGATTTTTCCGTTTGTTAGCCTTGCTAAAACTCGAGAACTGCTGAACCGATTTGGCTAATTTTGGTCTTGAAATGAAGTCCAGGGAAGGTTTAAAAGGTGAGAAACTAGTCGGGATTTTAACTCGTCGAGTACCGTCATTATAGACACAATTATAGAACAATAGGTTGCGGTCACCGGTGACCGCTTGGTGTTTGACAGTTTAAGGCAGTGCTAAGTTTGCCGGGTCAGCTCGTTATAATATAGTTTTAGAGGGGCTCTTGATGCAATATTATACTTTTTTGCCAGTTTGTTAAAATATAATTATATATAGCTATAACTAAGTGTATACGTTCTTAGTTACTAAGCTTATTATTGATATTTTCAAAATAGAAAGTTAAAACATTTTTCCCTAAGGCCACGGCACACGGCGTTTTTATAAACGGACGTGCATAACAACCTTCTAACCTAAGTACATGGAGTAATCGTGAAACGTGCTTCTACTGCATGTACCATATACGTGCTTAATGTCCGTGCTTGTATCATCAATACAAACGCAACAATCAGCGCTGATGGCGCCAAAGAAGTGTGTTTCTAATACGGGGTTAGGTTTCGCATAAGACAATACAGCTTGTGGTAAAAGCCTAATGCGAATCTGAAACTAGTAACAAATTCTCAGTGTTAGATAAAATCCAATGTTCATGTTACTCATCCATTTACTATCTACTCCATGTATCCCAACACTGCAACGGAGTATGAAAATGTTAAAACTTTATTAGTTCATTCTCCGACTCGAGTGTAAAAATATCTCGTTGAGAATTACCCTTTACATATAATTCTTTATTAAAAAGCATATCCTACTGCAATGCAATAAAACTGTTGAAATATTTTTCAAATAGAGGTAAATTCTTTCATAGATAGTTTTTCGTTTTTATGAGCTTCTTTGCAATATTATTTTTCATTAGTATTGTCTCAAACATGACATCCAAAAAACCACGATAGGATTTTTTTTTTTTAAGGGGGGAAAATCATCGAATACCTGCTCCAGCCTGGGTGAGGCGGAAGGGAGTGTCAAACTCTTACTGACTAAAAACCACCCCGTTCCTTCTCCTGCACGTCGAGTCGGAGTCCCGCGCTTACGGTGGCCGGAGATCGTCTCGCGATCCCCGACGCCCGGTGTGTCCTTCGCGATGGCTAGGTTGCGAGGAGGCAGCGCCTCGCTGCCTCACACGTCCCGCCTCCTCCTTAGCTAGCATGACTGTTTCGCAAAAGGAGGAGACGGCATCCCAGTCCCCCTCGCTCCGCATCATGGCCTGCACTAGGCCCGGACGCGAGAGGTCGCCATCGCCGATCACTTCCCTGAGGGCACGGCGGTGCTCAGCCCACGCAGGGCATTCCGCTACAGTGTGTTCCACCGTGTCCTCAGGGCGGTCCTCGCAGTGATGACACCCGGGCGTTTCCTCCCGCCCCATCAGACACGGGTACCTCCCACGATAGGATACCTAGCAATGAGGACTAATAGATATTCCCAAAATCAGATATAGGCAGTGAAGACTTACGCCTCGCCTGAGAAAACAAACAGAAGAAGAAACAATAATAATGAATACGGGTTCCATATTTGAATGAGTAATTTATTTATGTGTCCTTTTTTATTGCTTAGCAATAAGATGTGAAGGTACTGTTAAGATTTTTTTTCCAGGAACCGCCTGGAACATCTTAAAAGCTGCAGCATTTATAGTGATCTGACTTTTATCTAAATATCGATTACCGAGTGTGAAGTTAGTTGTCTCTAAAGAAGCCTTTGTTTACTAGTAAGATAACAATGATTTTATAATGGTATTAGTCCAAGTTCTATCAGTACCTAATTAATTATTATGTTTTCGGCTTACTCACATTGTAGTCGTGGTGACTCGGAGATTTAAGACGCCCGCTTCTCATGCATGAGGTTGCGGGTTCGAAACCTACCAAAGGCAAGTACCAATGTGACTTTTCCGAATTATATGTACTTTCTAAGATTATTTAGACACCACTGGCAAACGGTGAAGGAAAACATCGTTAGGAAACCTGGGCTTATAATTTCTAATTATAAGTTTGTAATCACCAACCCGCTTTGAGCAAGCGTGGTAATTAATGCTCAAACCTTCTCCGTGTGAGAAGAGGCTTTGTTCAGCAGTGGGCATTTATAGGCTATTGATGATGAAATGTTGGACGAGGAACTCGACTAGTTTCAAGACATGCTACCGTAAGAGTAGCAGTGCGACAGTAGCCGCGTCGCGGGTCGCGAAATGCTGCTCATGAATATGAACCTTTAGCATGGCTTGAAACCAGTCAAGTTCCTCATCAAACAGTTCCGTGAGTACGCCAAAAACATAATAATCTATCAGTACCTATTAATTATATTATGTCTTTCCTATTTCTTAAACAAATAACACCAAAACATTCTCTAATTTTAATATCCTCAGTACTCAACTCAAACGGTACAAATACCACTCGTAACAACTTAACATCTAAATCACGAACTTCTAAATGACCTCGCTTGTAAACCTCATTCATTTGTTTCGCACAAGCTCTTTAACCGACGAACAATACGTCTATAGAATGCAAATTTAATAATAGACCAATTATTACACAATAAAGGGCACTTCATTCTTTATGAAGGAAATACCCTGAATTCACATAATTGTGGGTAAATGACTATTCTGTATTGTATCAAGTACTCTTCAAAGTTTGAGCGAAACCGTTTTAGTTGACCACTTTATATTGACAGGCGGTACTGCTTTTCGTTTTGTTCTAGATTTTATTTAGCGTTGTTTTGGGTGAAGACTGCCTCGTTGGCCGAGTGGTCGCAAGTGCGACTGCCGGGCAAGGGGTTTCGGGTTTGATTCCTGGGTCAGGAAAAGTATTACCTGCTGGGTTTAAAAAAATCTCAGTAGTAGCACGGAGTCTGGAATTGTGCCCGGTATATGGCAATAGACTCAGCCCCTATTACATGGGACTCATAACATAAATAGTGAAAAGTGGGTGTTACTTCTGTGTGCACCTCTACCTACTCCTTTGGGGATAATAAGCGTGATGTTGTTTGTAATGTTTTTTTTTTTGTGTGTAATTTTATTTTAATTGGGGTAAATATTTATAGGTTTCTTTCAGTTTTGTTGGATGATATAAATAGCGTGCTTGAATTTAAGTGTTGATGATCAAATATGATTAGCTATCTGTTTAGTATGTATCGTAACTTTATGTGAGCTAATTCATTTGTGATCTCAAAAAACAAGGAAGAGTGTAATTTAATTTCAAAGGTATAAACATCATTGATTGACTCAGATTATACACGACATAACAACACGCCTTTTTATTCCCCGAAGAGGTAAGCAGAGGTACACATTAGTGCACTTAATGCCACTGCCACTGTACAATAAATGTAACATTCACTTTTCACTATTTATGTTATGGAGTCCCATGTAATAGGGGGTGAGCCTATTGCCATACGCCGGGCACAATTCCAGACTCCGTACTACTACTGGGATTTCTTAAAACTGCTGTAATATTTTTGCCCGACGTAATCGAATCCGAGACCACTTGCCAGGCAACCGCGCTTGCGACCACTCAGCCAACGAGGCAGTAGTTACAAAATAAAATCATAAAAAAATTTACTCTAGTCTCCACTTAAGTAGGTACCGTAAAAACTGCATGACACTAACTCACATGGACCAGGCCAACCGGCTAATGACGAGCCAAAAAACCTTCATCAGTAAGTAAATAAACAAAAGTATCTTCCAAACAGCCCTAACCCAAAACAAAGGGAACCTCCTCTCCTTCCAAAACATACAAAACAGAGGCAAACAAACGAACAAACAAACACGAATTCGGAGTAAAACATTCGAATGTTTAATACGTGATTAGAGAACAAAGAAAAATCATATTTCATTCTACATCCTTTGGGAAAATGGAAGAAAAAAACACCGGTCAAGTTCGAGTCGAACTCTCGTACGAAGGGTTTTGTACCATACATTAATGTATTCATTCCAGCAATAAACAGCATTAATAGTATCTATTACGTTTTTATTTATTTTTTAAGTGAATAGATTTAGCATTTTTTTATGGCATAAGCCGGCAAACGAGTAGACGGATCACCTGATGGTAAGCAATCGGCGTCACTCATGGACACCTGTAACGCCAGGGGTGTTACAAATGTGGTAGCGCACTTGTAACGCCTCCGGCCTTTTGGGGATTAGGAGTTTGAGGATCGTTGGGGATTCAGGGATTGGGGAAAGAGGAGGGTAATTGGGCCTCCGGTAACCTCACTCACACGGCGAAACAACGCAACCGTTGCTTCACGTCGGTTTTCTGCGAAACCGTGGTATCACTCCGGTCGAGCCGACCCATTCGTGCCGAAACATGGCTCTTCCACACTTAGCATTTAATTTATATCGTCAAAAACCACAAGAAACACAATCAAGTCTGTTTATTAACAATATTAGCTTCTGCCTGATACTTCTTATGTGTTGATCTGGACCATAATCTATCCATGTTCCAAATTCCTTCCTGACCCCTTCCGTTATTTGAGGCGAAGGTGTAACAAAGAAAGAAATGAACATACAAACTTTCACGTATATAATATTAGTACTTTTTGTTACAGTAGCGGCAACAGAAATACACCATCTGTCGAATTTTCATCTGCCTAGCTATGACGATTCATGTAATGATGAACAGGTTGGAAAGAGACAGTCGGACGAACAGCGGAGTCTTTTTTTTAAGGGGGGAAAATCATCGAATGACTGCTCCTGCCTGGGTGAGGCGGGAGGGAGCGTCAGACTCTTACTGACTGAAAACCACCCCGTTCCTTATCCTGCACGTCGAGCCGGAGCCCCGGTAACCCGTTAGGTTCTCCGCGACAACAGCGGAGTCTTACAGTCCCATTTAACCCCTTTAGTCACGGAACCCTAAACAGCAGCCACATTTAGTTTCCTGAAAGCCAAATTTCATTGTCATCGAACAATAGACTTCACAAAGGATTTCGTCTGTGTTTTTTTTTTTAATATTGGGTATGACTTTGACCAACCAGTCATAGTTTGTCATATATAACCATAGGTACCCGTTTTGTGGTCTGTTTTCAAAATATTGGTTTCGATTTGATTCGCAATAGCATTCAATATAGACGCATTCCTGACAAGTTGTATTTTGATTAAATTCTAGTTTGTTGATATCAGATTATAATTTTATAGTCGACAAATTTTTAGGACGATTTGATACCTACTGTGACCCGGAGGTTTAAGAGACAGTATTGAGTGGATATAAGTACCAATGTGAAAAAAATGTGGTTAATACGGCACATAAGATTTTCGTAATAATGAATATTGACTGTAAAAAAGTAAATGTAACTGAATGACAAGGGCACGGACGAGAGTTCGTAGAGAATAAGAAAACAATTTAAAAAAGTACCAATGTGACTTTTTCAGAGTAATATGTACTTTCTATGATTATTTCGACAGCACTGACAAACGGTGAAGGAAAACATCACAAAGATTATTATTCTTTCTAATTACACATAATAACATAACATCACGCCTTTTATCTCCGATGAGGTAGGCAGAGGTGCACATTACAGCACTTAATACCACTTGTAACACCCACTTTTCACTATTTATGTTATGAGTCCCATGTAATAGGGGGTGAGCCTATGCTACTCGTGCTACTACTGAGATTTTTTTAAAAACCCAATAATACTTTGCCCGACCCGGGAATCCAACCCGAGACCGCTTGCCCGGCAGTCGCACTTGCGACCACTCGGCCAATGAGGCAGTCTAATATAATTATGTCTATAATACCTATAGATATAATATAAATCTAATTATAAGTTCGAAATCGCCAACCCGCATTGAGCAAGCGTGTTGAGGAATGCTCAAACCATCTCTGTACGAGAAGAAGCCTATGGTCAGCAGTGGCCACTTATAGGCTATTGATGTTAAAGTTTTTAGAGGGTGAAATTATTTTAATTTTCATCTTTAGATCATTAGTTTAATGATAGCTCTTGGTTCGTAATTTAGGGTAATTTATAACAAACTCAAATCAATAATTACCTAGCAATCACATTCGAATAATGATTCGAATACTACCAATGACATTTAGAACTCAACAGACTTACTTGTTAATCGGAAATACCCATTCAGTCTAGTTTTTTATTTTCAATCACTTATCAAACACAATGCTTAACCAAAACCATTTCTTATAGAAAATCTCTCTATTAAGTATTCATAAATGTACACAAATATTAAACTACTCAAACGCAAAGAACTTTCCAAAAAACGCAACCAGGAAAAAATACCGCAAAGATTTCGCATTAAAATAAAACACTAGATGCGACAAGCGTTCACACCGGTCCCTAGAATCGTGAGTTCACTGAACCGCAACCTAAGTGACGAGGTATTATAATTCTTGAGTCGGCACTTACAGGCCACTTCCAGAGTTTTGGTGTCAGCACTTTTCCCAACCTGGTTGTGAACTTCGCACTTGATCGTCGCTTCGTTGAACCTCCTTGATATATTTGATAGTATCTGTAACAAAGGTAGGAGTTAAATTTACTGTGAAATCCTAATGAGGTTGTAGAAAAATGTTGTAAAAGGGTAGATTTATTGGAATGCAATTTTATACCTTTGTGGAGTTACATTGGTGAGGTTTTGGGGTATAAAGAGATAATATTGAATTTAGCTTTTGTGTTACTATTTCATAAATAAGGCATATTTTTAAAGTTATTGTCTTTAACGTCATATAATTATTATTACACTCATCATTGATTCCTAATCAATAACATTAAGGTATAATTTAAAATGTTACACTTAAGAGATGTACGATCTCAAATCGTATAAACCTCAGAAATTTAAACCCCAATGACTAGTTCAAAATGAACATCCATACCAACAACCTCACAACGTAAATAATGCCGCCAAAAACATTCAGTCAACTCCCTGACTATAACAATGGGGCCAACAACACATCTAGCTAAAAATGAGCACGTCTCTGAGGTAACTATGAAACTCGTTAAACAATACAACGTTGCAAGACAAAACCAATTATAACACACCTCCCAACATTCCCGTAGAAAGAGCAGTTACACTTGTAAATAAAATATTTAATAAGCCAAAAAATACTCCAAACATGTTCCTCAAGTATGAAACACCTGATGTAAAATGCATATTGCAGGTACATGGTGTGCCAAGAAGAAGAAATTTGAAAATTCTCTCTTATATTTTCCGAGTACGCCTTCAGGAACCATGCAAATAAGCTTGGTAAAATTTAATATAGTGTACAGAATTAATGGGGAAAAGACACTGGAGATGATATAAGACACAAGGCCGTTACTTTGTTTTGGATTTTTAATGGAGCCTCCGAAAATTGGAATATGTTACTCTTAGATTACCTTACTCGTACGCGTTACGGAATTTACATTTGTATGTTTGCAAAAAGAATTTTTAAGTTGATGTTATGTTCTGTTTTTCGTTGGAATCTGGATTTATTTTGACGTGTCTTTGAAGGTATCTAGAGCGATATTCTCCAGGGATTTGTACGAAGCTTTCTAAGTAAAAAACAGACTGTCTGTCGTTATGTATCTACGTGTTGAAATCACAAGGGAGGTCAAGGGCAATCTTCTGTAAACAGGTACTAGGTAAAGAATTCTATTCACTAGGGAAAAATGAGCATTGATTAGCACGCGTTCTTATTGTGAAGACTAACAAATTTTTGTAGTTCGTCTAGCGCTTTTCTTTATTGTACTTCAATAGTGTCTAAATGAAATTATATTTTTCACAGGTTCCCCTGCAAAGCGAATACATTTACTTCCAACCTGCCATGACTCGTTTACCTATTTCCATAAAATAAATTACCTTAATTGTTTGCTCTATAGCAGTGGCAACAAAAGAAATTGACATGTAGATGCAGCGGCATTGACGCCAGTTACTAGCCTCACCTATGAACACCCATTTGCCTGATTAAAAAACGCTATTTAAAATCGATACTAGTTAAATGACTCGCGCGAATTCTCGAATGGTTGGTCTTCGAAGGAATTCAAGCTCGACCCAGTTTAACTAAAGCAATGACCTAGATAAATTAAATTCTACTGAATGAGGAGCTCTGTTACTGAAAAGCTAGTATTACAAACCTTGTCATAGCGTCGCTTTGTGACTTTTGTTCGTGGACATTTCTAGAAATAAATGTTATGAAGTACCTATGTGTCACATTTTCCAGGTATTTGTTTCATTCGTGTAGGTAATACAGGGTAAGTTTAGCACTAATATTATTAGTCCATATCCAGACTTTAATTTTGAAATCAAGATCTTTTTCTTTTTCAATCTCTGACTGGGTTTGGGTGATGCATTGTTCTCACACAATCGAACCAACAAAATTATGTAACTAGAGAATTGTATTGTAAACCCGATTGAAAAAGAGTAACCCATGGAGTTTCTTTTCTTGCTCGTTCTTCTCCATAGAAATCTACACCTTGGAATGAGCAACTAGCTTCACTTCTAAATTTTTGTTGTTGACGTTCAAAAGTGCCTGCCTTCCTGGTCTAATTGAAATAAATAATTTTGACTTTGACTTTGAAGAAAGTTAAGTTTTAGTCGCATTGTTTTCAACCTAATTAGGCTACGTTTATTTTAGTAATATTAGTCTAAATAGTATAATTACGTGCCAAATGACAAAAACCGGTTAAAACCGGTATGGCAAACTAGACAACAATCAAATTCTTATATTGACTGACGAAAACTCCTGTATCCATAAATACTAATCACAATCCTTTTGTTATAATTTTATCTACCACTAAAGAAAAATTGCTATCTTCAACCTCTTAAAAAAACTTCGTATACATGTCCTCAAAGACAACATTTTATTATAAATTAATACCTTCACTTGCACAATTGATTCTTATACTTCATTACTGCAGATTTTTTTCCACGCCAAATAAATTTAAACCGAAGATTAACTTTTAATAATTCTTCGATACTAATGTATGTGTGATGTATCTATATCTATACTAATATTATAAAGAGGAAAGATTTGTACCTATTTTCGTATGTTTGTAATGAAAAGGCTCAAAAAGTACTGGGCCGATTTAAAAAATTCTTTCACCAATAGAATGCTACATTCTTCCAATTTGACATACGCTACATATCATTTTGAAAAAAAAAAATGTCTACGCCGTGCGAAGGCGGGACGGGCTGCTAGTAGTTTATATTTTTATGTATTTATTTGTATATTGTATGTATTCGTTTGTTTTTTACCTCTTGAGTTTTATGTCTGTTTTCTATTTCAATTTTGTATTTGTTATTACACACTGTGTCATTATATCATTATTATTTTTCCTGTCACAGGTCCACAGGAAGAAATTCCAATGGTAGGTACCTTTGTACTTTAATTTTATACATGTGTTGTCCTTTATGTTATAATATATATGTGTGTACATAAATAAATAAATATAAACTTTCAAATGTCAATTTTATCCTACAGTTAAAAAATGTTGAACTTAGTTCAGAAATGTTGTATCCACTTACCAATTCATTGCTGATGTCACCAGCAATATGTTCATTGTTGACATACCATTTGTATGTAAGATTGTTGGGATTCGCACTGGCTTGACAACCTGTGAAAAAATACATATGATTCAATACACTTATTTTAAGCTGTATAGGCACATCTTAAGTATTATAGATAAGGTTATTACAACGAAAATAAAACATTATAGGGGTGTTTTTAAGGGGGGGTTTCTAACTAAATATAGATTAGAATTGTATTTTGTTAGAACTGTATTTGTTAACAAAAAAATTCTTTATCACAGAGGATGCCTTAAAAATTAAGTTCCCTACATAATGATCATATTATCTAGTATTCCATCATTTGGTAAATTAATATTATAATTTAATTAGCTGATTCGCGAGAAATACTTTAAAGGCTTGATTTTTCACGACATTGAAGATAAGATCCTTTTCAAAAAAATCCAACTCAAAAGGATGTTTATGAAAAGAATTAATTAATTTCGTATAACCTTGATGAAATGTTACCAAAATTTTTATTCAGCTAAGCAGTCTTTATGCGTAAGTATTCAATAAAATTAATAGGGGACCCAAAATCGACCCTTGGGGTATGCCTACGAATGGCAATGAACTTTTATGGATTGATTAAAAAAGTATCGAAATCGATGGTCAGAACTTGGTTGCTTTTTGTATTTATACCTAGGCAAATGATTTCATTGTGTTGGACACTAATAAAAGAGCTTTTTGCCATTTTCATCATCTAGAAACCATTTCTTAACTAAAATTTACTTTAGCCTGACGTAGCACCTAAACTAACCCCTTACAAAAAACCAAAATATCGTTGAACGTCACCAATCTGAACTTAGAGGATCCTTACAATTTGGAAAAGGTTGATAAAAACAGGTATAAATAAATTAAGACTAAATATAAATTCAGAAATACCACGTAATGTATAACAAAAATCAATTCACAGCAATTGACACTTGACTAGGGATCAAAGTTGAAATGAAAACTAACCAATTACGACGGTATCTCCCTCTTGAATGCTTCCTTTCAATATTCCAGACTTCACGAACATTCGAACTTTAGGTGCGTATTGTACCTGAAAAAGAATAAGAATATTAGATTTCTAGTAAAAAAAATCTTTATTAACAATTTCGTCTTAGAATTACGTTTATATCGTACTCAGACACATAAACTTCTCTAGTAAACAGTTCTCGAGAAATTCAAAAAACTTCTCGTACATTCAGATAACGATCTTAATAGACGTAGCTTCACCAGAATGCCGACGCCACGAAATTTTGTTTCGTAGATTTGCCAAAATTTAATAGTTTCACAAACAATTTCCAAATTGTTTCACACTGTGTAACGAGAATAAAATTATTTAAAATGTCAGAATACAACATTAGATAAAATAAATGCAATAATATAGTTTAGAGTGCCAAAATGTCGTGGTGGCCCAGAGGTATAAGACGACGCTTCTCATGGATGAAACCTACCAACGGCAAGTACCAATGAGACTTTTTCCGAGTTACATGTACTTTCTAAGATTATTTAGACACCACTGACAAACGGTGAAGGAAAACATCGTGAGAAAACCTGGGCTTATAATTTATAATATATATATATATAATTACAAATTATAAGTGTGTGATGAGTAAGCGCGGTGATTAATACTCAAACCTTCTTCATGTGAGAAGATGTTTTGGGCATTTATAGGTTGTTGATGTATACCTCTATTACTTTAGTTTAACTTCGATATTCTATTGGATTTTAATTCATCAGGTTTGGTTTAATTCATTGATGATAAAAATGTTCAAAAAGATGTCCTTGAAATAAGATAATAACTGTCTTTTAATAAATGTCACTGTGCCCTTACAGGATCCATATTAATGTAACTTGGCTTTAAGCCTATTGCAACACCTTATTCACTTTATGGTATGCACAAAAATGAATTTGAAATATGAATATCATAGAGAGAAATTGTTGTTAAACTTGTCTCAAGTCAAAGTACTAAAAACGAAGAAGAAAATGAGAAAGATATTTCAAAAAAAACACCGTCAATTTTGAAGGAACAAAACAATACTGCGAGGAACGAGAACCAACCGTTACAAATCGAGTCGACCTAAAAATCTTTAACAATTTTTCACTGGAATCTTTAAAAAAGACTGTTTTAAAATTAAAAAGGGATGGCGAACCATTTTTCGTTGTGTCCAAATCAGAAACTGTTTTCTTGTAGTTGTAAGGTGGAGAGAAACACGTGGCAGCAAAGAGAGAGGAAATAAAAATGGAACGTCTAGTTCTTGTGGGACCTTAGATAGTTTTGTTTGGGTTCATTGTCCACGAATATCTTTTATTTTATTTCGTGTGTGAAAATGATCACAGATATTATTATATGTCTCTGTCTCTCTCTCGGTCTCGTAAATAAATACTATTTACGAGACCGATTTAAATGTGTTTTTCATCAATAACCGAAATGATATCAGAATGGTCTTAATTTGTTATGAAATAGGAGGGAAACGTGCCGACAAATTATCTAATGGTAAGCAATCAGCGCCGCCCAAGGGCAACTGTATTCTAAAACAATTCTGCAAAAAACCATTAAGCCCGTCCAAGGATGAAACTGAAACCTTAAAAACCTGTAACCATGTACACAAACCAACAAATCTATCAATAATATCATTTCCTCAAGTTGAATTATAATGTAAATATCACAGTCATAATTATCAACAAATTCTTCGTAAACTGTGTAGGTGGCTATACCACGTGCAACCCACACGAGGTAATTGTACCTCTTATAACGGATTTTCAATTTTAATTGATTTAAGAAGGTAAAGTCTTTATAGGGTAGTAAGTCGGCGAGATTCCACGGGCCTCTTTCCAGCTAGAAAGAATTCCATTCAGAGGTTTATTTTAATTTCTGTTTTTTTATTGGGAACGGGGCCCCATCCGATGAATTTGCCACGTGCTCCGAACGATATAGTTAAGCCACTCATTACCATATAGTTCTGCGTTTGTTAGCGAAAATTATTAAATCCTACCTAATACTACTTTACTCAGCTTGAACAAAGGATAATCTACAAGATATCGCTTCAAGAAACAAAAGGTGTTACTTTAAACCACGTCTTTACTAACCCGTTTAACTAGCAGTAATATTTTACAACTGATTGTTTAAGACTAGGTATAGCCGAGCATTTTAAAGGCGTATGATATTGGACGCAAGCCAAACTGGTATGGCAGGCACCATATATAATTTGAAGAGGTTCTGCAAGTAAATTGAAAAGATGGTTCTAATTTGAAATGGAATTGAGCCATTGGAATCGATGGTAGATAGAGCTCTTAAAGCTGAAATTGCCTTGAAGTTCTTAGTCAGATTATTGAGGAAATGGGAATATAATGTCGTTATTTTTGAATAATTTAGTGGTATGTAATGCGCTTTGAATTTCAGCAAGATTTTTATTAATTTTGAAAATGTTTTGATGTTTTTGACATGTTATGTAACGCTTTTTGTTTAGGCACAAGTGCCCAATAAATCTAAAAACCAAATTTACTAATAGTAAACAATAAATTAGGCAAAACTCTAGACTTCGTGCAGAAGAACGTATGTATCCAAAATCGACACGCTCGTTAAGTGTTTGACAAAACCCTTTCTCCAAAATACTTTGACAAATTCAAAAATCACACCCCGCTTGTGACTGTTCGATTAAATTGTTCATTGTTCTAGCACCAAAATTATATTGAGGCAAATTAGTTTACGCGTAAACAACATGTGCATCAATTTTGTTTGAAATACAATCAATTCTAATTACATTAATTAGCTTCCATTAAATGAGTTCTGTTATATTCAAACTGCTGCTAGTTTGGGTAATAAGTACATGTTTCTCTATTATATTGCTATTATAATAAAAACTCAAGTATACTAAAAAAACAACATTTTTCACACTATGAGGGGTAAGTAGAGATTTTTTTTTAAGGGGGGAAAATTATCGAATGACTGCTCCCGCCTGGGTGAGGCGGGAGGGAGTGTCAGACTCTTACTGACTAAAAACCACCCCGTTCCTTCTCCTGCACGTCGAGCCGGAGCCCCGGTTACCCGTTAGGTTCTCCGCGACGTAAGTAGAGAATAGGAAATAATTTTATGGGATACTGCCTTCTGCCAGCGGCTTCGCTAGCACAGATACTTAATGGTGTTTTTGTATTCGACTATTTCGCGTTTGATACAATTGGTTTCACGATACTTTCTCTTGTGAGTAAACATAGCACATTGTGTTCTGTCTATATTGCTATTTAGTCCCCAGCGGTGGTAGTAGTCGATGATGGTATTGACGGTTAAACATCCACGCTATGTGGCGCAGTCCAGGTCGAGGGACCTGTTAAGGATACGCAGGCCATCTGCATATTGGGCGAGCTTGAATCCACGGATAGGGCCTCGTTGATCCTAAATGTCGTGAACATACAAATTGAAGCCTGCCGGACCTAGGATGGAGCCCTAAGGTACCCCGTATGGTACCGATTTTTGATCGCAATAGGTGGTTCTAAAGCATCCTTAAACCTTACGACGTTGTTGTTGACTGTGGTTTTTTTTTTGTGCGAGATAGTAAATACGGCTTTGGAGCAACGTTATTTAAAATACGAAAACAAATGGGACCAATTTTTATTAATATCAATGCACTCTAACTAATATTAGTATTTTAACGGAATTTAGACTCGTTCTATATGTCAAAGACATTGTTATCCAACTAACAAAGTCAACAAAAGTAAATGTATCATGTGCTCCTCCTACGTTGTATAATTTCTTGAACTTTATACCAATTCACCTGCAGAGCGTAGGCAGATACACTCAGTAGTCAAATAAACGTAATATTAGCAATGATAATAATTAGTGTGGGTGGTTCGCTCGATTTGAGAGGATTCTTAAAGAGCTTAAGGAATATTAATTTCTTTGATGTCCGTATTATGATTATTTGCTGTCATGGCAGTATTTTATTGAACTAGTACTATACTGGACTATGTAAAATAGGTTTGTAACTGTTTTATTTGTTTCCTTGTTTCCATTTCTTTTGTTTTACATATTACGGTACTTAATGCCACTGTAGGTACAATGTAACACCCACTTTTCACTATTTATGTTATGAGTCTCATGAATAGGATAAGCCCGCCACAACCTCCCAAAACGCTGCAACTCCTGTAAGCCAGGATCTACAGTAGATAAAACCATGAAACACCGGAACACTAAAGTACGGTGCGTCTCAGGAACATGAATAACTGTCTTGGTTCCCGCAACGAAGTGAACCAGAAGATATTATAGAAGGAGAAGAAAAATAACGATAGTTTCCACTTTCCTCGGTGAATTACTGCAGGTAATAGGAGATGAGCCTATTGCCATATATTGGGCACATTTCCAGTCTCCGTGCTACTGAGATTTTTTTAAAAGCCCACTAATACTTTGTCCGACCCGGTAATCGAACCCGAATCCCCTTGCCCGGCAGTCGCACTTGTGCTTTAAATATAATCCTAAGTTTGAACAGAGATTCAGGATCTTCGTTAAGTAAATATTTTTTTGCATTATTTCTTTAAACTTCTTCATTTTAAAACTCTTTTACTTTCTTATTTAGATCAAGGACCAACAACCTTTAACTGATAACAAAACACACACATCCAAACGACAAACAAAACGATAACTCTTGTCATACATGATCCTAAAACGAAGTTAATGCATTCAATAAAACGATACAACGTTACAACAAGCTATATCTAGCCTAGTACTGAAGGATATAATCGTAAAGATGCCCCTTAATCCAACTCAGCACATAGTTTATTTTGTAACCAATGAACCCTTCAGTCTAGACGAAGCCTTACAGTTGGGAATTAAAGCAACAAAGCCTCTCTGAAGTGACGATAAACCTTTTGAAAGGCACTCGATGTTGTGCAAAGAATTCTATGTAACATCTTGTTCGTCGCCTTTTCTTGAATTATGGATTTTGTGTATAACAAAGCATTTGTTGGTTGCAAGCTGAGTGAAATCAGGTTTTAAATTTAATTTTTAAGACATGATCTATTTTTATTGGTCGATGTTTTATTGGTTGTATGGTTTCAAACAAT